TGGAGGCCAGAAAAGCCTCTGATCCCTGGAGCCATAGTTGCAGGTAGTTGTGAGTCACCATATGGGTTCTCCAAGAGAGCAGCGTGAGCTCTAAATCACTGTGCCATCTCTGTGGCCCCCTTAGTTACATTTTTAATGATTTGTTTTACTTTTAATCTCTTAAATAAATTTTGTATTTATAGTTCTCAATATTAAATTTTCAGTGAACATTTGGTTATGGTGTTTGCTTTTGATATTTGAATTATATAAATGTGTTAACATGCACAAACAGATGTAATATTAGACTGTATATTCAAATATCTTTTGTTAAAATTGTGCATGAGCTTTCCTTTGGTATACTAGTTTTTTTTTTTTTTTTTTTTTTTTTTTTGGTTTTTCGAGACAGGGTTTCTCTGTGTAGCTTTGCGCCTTTCCTGGGACTCACTTGGTAGCCCGGGCTGGCCTCGAACTCACAGAGATCCGCCTGGCTCTGCCTCCCGAGTGCTGGGATTAAAGGCGTGCGCCACCACCGCCCGGCTAGGTATACTAGTTTTTATTTTGCATGTTGTTTTGTAAGGTTTTTTTGTTTGTTCGTTTTTTAATAATCATTATATACCAGTACCCTTGCCTACCTTTATTACTTATGGGCTAGAAGAGAATCTGGTCACTGAAAGTATGGCAAAGTCAACTTCTGACCATGTCCCCAGTGGTGTTTTTTTCTAAGGAAGCTTTTTTTGCCCACTTTTTCTTTATATCTTTGGAAACTGGATATTTTAATTGATCAGATAACTACATTTGGTCATTTAACATTTTCTTAGAAGACTATAATATCTATTATTTGTGAAGACCTGAGAAAAGTAGCCGCTTAGGACTCTGGAGATTTCCTTTTTGTGTGTGCCTGTGCCCTCTAGATAGGTCTGGTTTGCATGGTTCTTCACTGTGAATTCAATTAGCTAGTCATAAGTCTTCGTGTTTTTTCCCAAGAAAGGACTTCTAAGTTAATACTCCCAGGCTGTTCTTCTGACTCAGTGGCCTTAGCCTTGACTGACTGGGATCTCTGTGATGTTCCTGTTTTACCATTGTCTGTTCCAGCTGCATGACTGACAAAGTGTGTCACCTTTGGAATCTACCTGGGCCGTCTCTGTACTCAGTCCTGTGCACCCCTTGCTCGTATTTAGTTTAGGTCCCAGATCTGTTAAATCTCTAGATCCATGTTCTGTTTTCTGTAGATATTTCCCAGGTGTGAACTCAGAGAAGGGAACTAATGTCTCCAGCTCCCTATTTTTGCCAGCACTTCATTTATTCCTCACAGGTTTTGGATTATAACTGTCTAGGTCTTGAGAGTTTCTAACGACTTTTTTCAGTGCAGTTGCTCTGGGTTCCAAATCCTGTACACAGAGACCCTGATCTTACTCATGTTTATGTTTTTACATTATTGTTGTTTTTTTAATTATCTGGCAATGTTATACTGTATGGATATTCTGTATTGAATTTTTAAAGTATTTTATCCTTTGACAGTTTCATGTATTGCATTTTGACCTATCCCCTGCCCTCCTTCTCCTCCCAGATCTCCTGCAGTTTGTTTTGCACGTTTGTTCATTTTCCGTCTTTCTGCAGTGCTTGTTTTTCATCTTGTCACATTGGATGTGCTTTCCATTTTTATTGATTCTTTTGTTTTTGTGTTTCACTATATATGGTGTTTTGTGTGATAATTAAGAGACTTTTTTGTTCTAAGTTATTTATAAATTTAAATAATCTCTAAGGTTGCTTTTAAAAGCTGTTGACTGAGAATGTGGCAGAATTAGTATGCTTGGACTTCATCTTCCTCCCTGACACATTCTTATTTGTTAATTACAGCGTCTCCATTGTCAGAGTTAATGTTCTGTTCTGTTCTCTAATCATAATCTCCATGTTTCTTTCTGTCTTAGTCCTTCAGTTAATTTTATGACAGAAAAAGGAAATCTGTAAAAGTTAGCTGCCTCCTAAACAGAAAGTCGCCATCTTCCCCATGCTGAAAATGCAGGGCTTGGCAGAACATCTTTTGCTGAGCTCATCTGGGCTTTCCCAGAAAAAAAGAACAAAAATTCATCTTTTGAATCAAGAAGGTCCTTAAATGCTGGGTTTTGGTATTTTTCTTTTCCATTTTCAAAATCATGATAAAATTTCTTTTTCTTTCTTTCTTTCTTTCTTTTTTTTTTTTTTTTTTTTTTTTTTTGGTTTTTCGAGACAGGGTTTCTCTGTATAGCTTTGGAGCCTGTCCTGGAACTTGCTTTGTAGACCAGGCTGGCCTTGAATTCACAGAGATCCGCCTACCTCTGCCTCCCGAGTGCTGGGATTAAAGGCGTGTGCCACCACTGCCTGGCTGACAAAATGTATTATGTCCTGTTTTATTTTCTCTTATTTTATTTTACTTATTTCTTAAGATTTGTTGTGTTACTTTCTTTTCTTACATAGGATATTCCTGGGAAGATGCAGAGGCCATTCTGATTTGTCTCATAATTTGATTTTTTTGTTGTTGTTCTTTTGAGGCAAAGTCTCACTTTGTACCTTATGCTAGCCTCATACTTGCTGTGGAGGCTTTGTAGTCCAACCTGCCCTTAAGCTCAAACTCTTGATGCCTCCTGAGTGCTGGGATTACAGGACAGCATCCATATGTGCTCTGTTTTTTATCTAGATTGGCAAAGGGCTCTTTGGAGACCACTAATTTATAGGGAAACAAAATGTTGATGTTTTCTGGTTTTTTTCTTTTTTAAATGAATAAAAATAGAAGAAATTTATAGCATTTTGTTTGTAATAGAACCAATAATAAAGATTAAACCAAATGAAGTACAGATGGACATAAGCAAATTGTGCAATGTTGGAGTAAGTGTAGCTGGTGAACATAGCATAGGAACTACTATTATTTTCTGTGGTTCAGGGGAGGTTTGTAATGTTTCACCTTTTTACCTTTTATTTTTAAAATACCATAAATATGTAAATCAGTTAGCACTAGTGTGTGCTGCCAGCCACAGAAATATGAAGTAGGAATTCCACTGACTGTGGCAAAGCTATTACCTGAAAGGGTCAAGGACTCTTCCAGAGGGAAGCCAAGACTCAAGAAGTACTGGTGACACTGGCTTTTGAATGTCTTAGCAGTTTCCTGCAGTGAATTTCTTGTGTTTTGTAACTTTCCCATTTGATTCTTTCCCCAAGAACTTCTAACAATGTGCTTGATCATTTACTGGGCACAACTTCCCTTATATTATTGGGGTATTTTGGATAACATTCCCCAGCTGTGTTTATTATTCATTAGCAAACATCTGGCCAGGGCCATTCTCTGGACAAAAGTATTTCATCTGAGACATTTCTCCTACATCCAAGGACAAACTGCAGATAGATAAGCATTAGCTCATCTTGCCTACAGATAATTCTTAACTCCTTACCTTCACCCCAGTTTATTAACACAAGACCCTAATTTAAGAGATTTACCACTTACTATTCTGAGATGGTGTTTTGGACATCTGCTAGTTACTGAAATAAGGTAATTATTTCCACTGATCCAAGGAGACTACAACAAGGCCAGGTAGATGATAGGTGCCAAGCTTCGTTTCTTGTGCAAATCAAGCTTTAATCCTCCCTCTTTTATCTCAGCCCAGGTGTTATTCCTAGTTCTAAAGATTCCCATGTTAGCAATTAACTCAGAGTGAAAGTGCTTTTACTAACCAAATACTACACATTGTGACACAGGTTCCTAGCAACCGAGTAAACTTCCCCTACCCTACTAGAAAGTGATGCAGCCAGAGAATTGGTGATTGTATGTGTATATAAACTGGAAGCTTCAGAGACTAGGGGGAGAACAAAGATGGAAAGAACTAAGATAGAACAATGAGAGAACAGCAGCAGAAGGGACAGAGAGGAGCTAAGTATGAGAACAGAAAAGAAGCTATGTAGGTAGATTTGACCTAGAAGAATAAAGTGAATGGACTAAAGAGCTCGATGTGCTTAGATTCTTTTGACATCCCTCAGATTAATTCTCAGCCGCTGATAGCATCTATTCTGGACTCTGGGAGAAATCTCCACCGACAGGTACCAGTGGGGACTTCCATAAGTGTGTACATTGTGTTTCTGGTGATGGCGTGTGTCCATGTTCTTTGTCTAACAACCATTCATATAATCTCACACACTCACTAGCACCATTTCCTGAGTTTTGAGTACAAGTTCTTTTGAAAAGTATTAAAAGTATTCTAAAGTCTTTGATGGAGGATTATGAGAACCTGTCTTTAGAGTCTGCAGAGTAAAGGCAGTAATGCAAAAATTAAATTGCTTGTTTGACCCAAGTCTGCCCAGTGATTTGTATTGTTAATCGGGACTGTTTTGAGCCACTGTTGGTCCAAACATGCAGGTTTAAAATAGTACCATATGCTCCTTAGCAAGCCTATCTGAAAGGACCAGTGGATTGTTAAATTACCCCATCTTGGGTGAAGCTGATTTGATCTTTTCCTCTAGTTCCTTTACTTTATAATTGTGTTTGTAGCTTTAAAAAAAGTGTACTTATACCTTTAAAAAATGTTTATGTCTTTGAAAATGTTTAAATTGTGATGTAATTCAGAACATTGCAAATGGCTAAAAACAAAATGTTAAAATGTTGCAACCTAAAACAACTCATGTCACAAGTACTTTATTAGGGTGATGTGCTTTTGATTTAACTTGGGACACTTAGAAGGAAACTTTGTGTTTGTAATAATCTTTGAAGAGCTTGGAAATAAAATCTTTGCCTAATTCATCATTTTCCATGAAAAAAAAAATAGCATAATAGAGTTGAGGGACACTTTTCCTCTTTCCTTCCTCCCTCCCTCCCTCCCTCCCTCCCTCCCTCCCTCCCCTGCTCCTTCCCCCATTCTTCTCTACTTCCCTTCCTTTGTTCCGTCCATAAATATATGTCATAATAAAATAGGAACAAATGGTCCTTCCTTTTCTTGTTTTTACTCCTTTTTAGTTGGCATCACTGGAAATTTCTAACTTTGTGTTTCCTCTGTGTTCAGGTATATGTCCCGAGTCCACGGTATGCATCCCAAAGAGACCACCCGTCAGCTGAGCTTAGCTGTGAAAGATGGTCTTATTGTCGAAACTCTAACAGTGGGCTGCAAAGGCTCAAAAGCTGGTATTGAGCAAGAAGGATATTGGTTACCAGGTGATGAGATTGTAAGTATATTTAATTTGATAAATTCAGAAATTTGGACTTTTGGGTTTTTTGAATATTAATATAACCTATAGAAATCCATTGTCAGAAATTTAACAATTCTTAACATTTTTATTAACACTAAAGCTCTGTATTGATAGCTTCCTTGTGATTCCTTAGGAGAAAACTAACTTTTACAAAAATCCTGCTATTCTGTCTGTTGTCTTGCATCTAAAAAATAAAACTAAATGTGCATATAAATCATGGTACTTTTGGTGCTTTCTTCAACTAATATTAGTTTAAAAAATGTTTCAGTGCAGGACAGTGTTTACACTGCCTAGATAGATGGAAAGGGACACATTGCTTCTTTAGGAATGCTCACTTGGATAGCATCAAATCCCAATCCAGGCTTACGGCAGAGTTTTCATGCACCAAACAAAGGTCCCAGATGTTAGAATGACTGGCCCTGGTCCACACTGACCAGTGACTACTGGCAGGCTTCCGGCCCTAAGCATAAGCCAATCAGGATGGATATAAAGTTACTTCTTTTGTACCTTCATTTAGCTCCAGCTGTGACATCTCTTATGGGGGTGTGCTTTGCATGATTGTGTCCTTTCAGGACATGGCTTTATGCTTGAGAAGCACATAGAGAAGTCCTTTCGTCTTGCATAAAGATTGATTTCATGTGTGGTATTTCTATCTCCCCATTATATTTTTTGATATTTTAACCAACTAATTGGAAATGTCTTAGTTATTATAATAAACATCATTTCAGATAATAGGTTTTAAATGTATGTTTTGGGGGATTTAATAATTCTCTAAAATCTAAAATTTTGAAAATTTCATAAAATCTTAAAAACTGGTTCATTGTGGGAAAATTTCCTGAAAGTTTTTGCTTCATTTCATTTTTCTGGTGATATGACAGACAAACCCATGGGTTCAGTGAGACTGAAGGACCACCACCAAGTGTCTCTGATAATTCTAAATGTAGGAAGCTGTCCAGGCCTGACAGTTTTATCCATTTTATTTATATGTCAAAGCCTCAGAAAACCTGGGGGTAGCGTCGTTACTTGTATCAGTGTGATTAGTTTGTTCACCGGAACTGTTCCTCAGAAGAAGTGTAACTGTTGCCACCAGAGCAGTTTCCTTTCCAGTCCCTGCTGCATCTGGAAGCTTCGTTGGTGCAATAGCCAAGATGGTGTGAGCCAAGATAGAGCAAAGGTAGAAAGTGAGAGTCCAGTGACTCGGGACAGTCCAGATAAGCTGGTGTATCCTGTCCCAAGCACGTGGACACTTAGAAATTCAGAAGACCCAGAGAAGGTGTGCGATGGGAGTGTAACTGATGACTGAGCTGACACGCAGGGCTTGGAGTTGTGGGTCATGTGCACATTCCTTTGGGTTTGTTTGCTCCTTTAAAATTGGTGGGTTTTTTTTTTATATACTTTGTTCTTCCTTAGACTGAAATTTCTTTAATTCATCAAGCAGCTAACTAGCTTATTAGATGTTTCCTACAGTATTAGACTTTATATTTCTTTTTATTTGTACATGTTTTTTTGCACGTATTTATTGTCGTCTTTCCATCTCTTTTTTACTAAATGAAATCTTAAAGTATATTAAACAGCAGCTATACAGGTTTAATGCTAATTAGTCCTTATTCACAGCAGTTTTATACTAAATATGCACATGTAATATAACTGAGTATGTCAAACTTCTGCTTACGTTATAAAATATATAACCATAAAAACTCAAGGATAAAGTAGTATGTGGAATGAGATAATGTCTATCTTAAGCATTCCTTGCTTACATGTCTAGAATTGTTTAAACATCATTGATTTAGTCCTCAGCTGTAATGTGGGCATATTAATATTTATTTCATTTAATCAAATATTAAGAGACATCATAACTAAGACAAGGCTTTCTTATAAATGAAAGTATTTAATTGGAGGCTTGTTTATAGTTTCAGAGGGTTAGTCCATTATCATCATGGCACGGAGCATGGTGTCAGGCAGGCAAGCAAGGGGCTGAGAGCTTACATCCTGACCCACAGGCAGACAGGCAGACAAAGAAAGACACTGGGCCTGGTGGGGGCTTGTGAAACTTCAAAACCCACCCCCAGTGGCACACTTCAAACAAGGCAATACCTTCCTATCCTTCCTAAACAGTTCACCAGCTGGGAACCAAGTGTGCAAATATATGAGCCTATGTGGCCATTCTCATTCAAACCACCACAAGGATTAAATGAAAATATGTTCATTCAGCAGTGAATATATACACAAATATATTCAAAGCAAGTGTTTTGACCAGTAAATAAGTATAGTTAGTAATGACCTCTTGTGCAGAAAGGTAATAAAGTTAATAATAATATGGTGTATATTTCAAAACAGCTAAGAAATGGACTTTAAATGGATATGTTAATTAGCCTGATGTGATCATTCCACTATATATGTATATGTGTGTGTGTGTGTGTGTGTGTGTGTGTGTGTGTGTGTGTGTATGTATCAAGGCATCACACCCTAGAAAGTTGTAGTTATTACTTAAAAATTAAAACTTTAAAATGATTAAAATAAGTGTCTGTAGACAGTAAAGTAAAAGCATCAGGTTTTTTTTACTAGCTATAAGCAGTCTTTTTATACTATTTACTTTGTAATCAGTATTCTCCAATATAAATACTGTGAAGAGCTTGCCTTGAAAAGGTAGCTGTTGTTGAAGGTATAAAACAATGAAGCTGGCTGACGAAATGAGTATCTTACTACCTGGGCTGATAACACCCCTGACTTGGCAGTAAGTGTCCTCATGCCCTATGATACCCCACAAGCTCATGTGACTAACCATGTCACCTATATCACAGTAGATATTCCACAATGCCCAGCCTTTGTGTATTTTTTTTTTATTAACTCTGTCATCTGTGCAGGAGGCAGGTCTAAACTGTGAACTGACAAGTTAGTAAATGCCCTCCACACCACAGATACTATGTATGTTATTTAAAAGTTCTCTCCTGAATAAAAAGTATACCTCAAGAATGTTTGATGGAAGGAAGGGCCACCTTTTCCAATTTATACAAAGTTCTGTGGGCCAGGGCATTTGGGGCTTTATAGTTTCACCACTTTGTGGTTTCAGTTGCTTTGGTGCCCTACAAACTTGAGTTTTAGAGTGCAGTGTGTATGATGAACACATCGTTCAGGTTACAATAGGCTTTTAGTAAGGGGGTTCTGTTATTTAAGAATAGGTGCTAATGCTCTTCTTCTTATTCCTCTGAAGAGAGAAGCTGTAGTATTGGAAGTGGGTAAACAGGATTAATTCTTGAGTCTTACAGGCTTTGTCTCCTGAATTACTTTATGTAGCAGAAGTTGGACGATGCTTGTCTTAACTCCCATCAATGTGTGGAGAAAGAGAAGCCAATTAGTATAGTTTTCCTTTCTCCGACACAGCTATGGTAAAAGGAGCTTAAAAGTCAGTTTGTTGGTATAACATTGTTAATACACTCCTACTACCTCTTTTTCTCTAATGGTCAATTTTAGAACTTGAAACAATCAAAAAACATGCATCTCTGGACCATGATTTTTATTAAGTACAGCAATCATGTCCTAAAAGCTCCCTGTCCTATATGAAACTATATCTGTCTTTGAGGAAGCTAGTATATTATAATACAAAGGCAGAGGCCCCGTGTTACTAAAATTCCTCCTTCTAGCATATTCTCAGCCATTTTTCATTGGTGATCTCATACACAATTTGCACCTCCCTGTGTAAGCCCAATTCTGTTGGAGAAACTATGGTCAAAATGTTTAGTGTCTAAGTATCTTCATGTTGATTCCCATATGTGTATATGAGATGGTGGAATAAAACAGCAATCATTCACAACAAGACTACTCCTATTTCTAAATGGCCTGCTTACACAGTAGTCGATAAATAAGTATACACATCAGTCTGTTTTCTAAATGACATATCCACAGTACTTGAAAAACACACGGGAATTTTTGTGGTCATCTGAAAACTCCTAGACTGGTAATAACATTACATTAACTGATAGGGTCTGAGTAGTTCTTATAAACATGGTTTTCTTAGCTTTTGAAGTTCTGTTGGTGAGAAGACATGGAGTGCCTTTTTGCTATCTGAACATTTAATACTTTGTCATGTCGACACCTTTTCTCTTTTCAGTTTTTAAAGCTAGCAGAGTGCACTTTTTTTTTTTTTGGCATTCTATGCAAGACTGGCCCAGTATTGCAAAATAATTAATGAATGCATACATATACATGCGCACACACACACACACACATGCTTGAATGTATATATGCCATACATGCATGCATACATGCTCATGTTCATAGACTGCTTTATCATCTGCTTACTCTAAAGTACACATGATGGGATGCCATATCTCCAATATTACATCCCCTTTATTCTTAAATTTTGAGAATTATATTTCTTGGGCAGAGTTTTACCACTTGCTAGAGGACTGAAGTTTAGGATTTACGAGTTGTCTTTGTAATCAATAAGTTAATGTCTTACAAATTAGCCTTTGGTTTATAAAGTGCTCAGCAAGGGTAGGAAGGTGTTTCCAAAATACTTATTTTAACATAGGAAGCAGGCAACCTTGAGTTTTGGATCATTTGCAGATAAAATATATACAAATGTATCTTGAAACCAGGTGATTATTATGAACTGTTGGTGAGTTCCAACTTTATTGACAGTTCCCAGGGCAAGGCCACACTTTTATTTGTAAGTGATTTTGATCCTGGTAGTAAAGAATTGGTTGCTAGTGTTGACTATGGCTTAACAATCTTTTATAAAAATGATGTTGCTTGTAAAACTTCTTTCTCTGTCTATGGACCTGCTGGATTTGGACTCAGGACCTCATTTCTTTCATAGTTCATGGCAGTATAGGGATCAGGCATCTGCTGAGAGCCACAGATTGCAGTTTTATGTAGAATCCTCTGCTCTCTTGTTTTCCTGCAGTGAGTCCAGACTAAGTGCTGCACTTTCAAGTGAATCATTCCTAACATCAGGACTTCAAGCTGCTCTTGGGCCTGAGAGCATCATTCTAAATGAAAAGGGGCATTCTACATTTTTCTTTCTGTATTTTTCACTTCTCAATTGTCTTAGGTTTTTGATATTTTTTAAAAGCATAATTAATGGAAATATGTATTTTGTGGTTTCCTAAAGAGATGAGCATATTATCTTAGCAGTGAATGGGCTGAAACCCCACCCCCAGTGGGGCAAGATGGACACTTGGAGGGAGTGCCGTCATCTGTTCTTTCCAACTCAATGCCAGCTTGTAAGAAGGGTTGACTTATATTTATCTTGAAATTTAGCTAAGTTCATGCCTCTTAGGTAAAACATTGGATTAGAATTGATGGCCTTGTTCCTCACAGACCTTACAGCCTGAAGCCACAGCAAGAGGGGCTTCCCTGGCTTCATTCTTGAGGAAACATGTCGAGAGGCTGCTGAATTCAACCTAACTAGACATTCCAGTACATTGCATATATAAAGCATGTAAATTTAAGAATTAATTTTAAAAACAATTTAGATTTTGGCCCTTTTTTGTTATAGTTATATTTGTCATTAGACTTTTGTTTCTTTTTTCTTTTTGGGGGGAGCAGGGGTTTGACACAGAGTTTCTCTATGTAGTCTTGGCTGTCCTGGAACTATGGAAGTAGCTCTATAGACCAGGCTGGCCTCGAACTCACAGAGATGCACCTGTCTATGTTTCCCGAGTGCTGGATTAAAGGCGTGCGCCACCACTGCCTGTCACGTTCGTTGTTTTAAATACCCTAAACACAAATTTCAATGTACGTTGATGTTGTTTGTGTTTAAAAATTGAAATGTTTTTATTATCTTTATGTCATTTATGTATGTATATTATGTATTTTTTCTTTGAATATTCATTCCCAACCTTGGTTACAAAAAGAAGTAAACAGTCCTTTATTTAGTAACTAGTAAGTAAATGCTGGCGATTGTTAGTTAACTAGAAACCAGTTACACTAGAGTATTCTGTGATTTGAAGCCGTGATTTACTGAGAAGTGACTCCGTTAAGAGTCTGTTTGCTCAGTGGGTGAGCAAACATTTTGGGTGGGTCTATCCTTCTCCTCATGTGTTGGTGGACTGTGTGTGTGAGCTCCTGCTGTTTGGCCCTTTCTCCTTCTGAAGTCTGTTTCACTGAGCAATATTGTAACTTATTTTCTATACTGAAAATCACTAAAGATATGTAACCATCATATCCTCCCATGTAAATGCTTAGCTGAATTTGTTAACAGAATTAAATTAAACCTAGAATGGTAGAGGACTCACTTTACATTGTATCTGCATTAAAGCACACTGTCATACACATGCTTAGTAGTGTAATATGGGTCTGCTCATAAAGACATAGGGAGTTCAAAAGATAAAATTGCCTTTGATTATTGAAGAGCCTTGATCAGAATTTGGAATACCTTTTTTCCAACAGTTCTTCAAACGCCTCCCTTGGTACATGGCCAAACATCTTTCTGAGCTTCCTTTTTATCCCTGAATTGGAGCTAATTATATTTTCTGTTCTGCCTTGCTCAGAGAAATGTTGTGAAAATCAGATATGATAATGAGTTCTGAAGTGCTTGGAGAGAAATGTACTCATGTGATTAGAAGCATGTTATTCATTTGTGGCGGCTTCATTCCTGTTTTGTGCAATACATAGATAATAACACTGGCTGACATCTCCTGAGTGATCAGGCTGTGCCAGACACTCCTCTGTGCACTGTGTACATATGAACTCATTTGATTCTTACCAAGCCACAGGAAACAGCTACTGTCATTCTGTTCATTTTACAGATAGAAAATGACATATAGAGAAGCTAAGCATTCTGCCCAAGACTATATGGCCATGAGTATCAGGGCCAAGATTTGAACCAGCCTGGTTCCAGTGTGCTAACCGAATGTGTATCAGGCTGCTGCTGGTGTTTGCTCCTAGGATCTGAGGGCAGCCTGTATAGATTTCATGCTGTGGTGAGAGATTGAGTTTACTACTCTCACATTCATTATTCTGATTTTTAGACAGTTCAGTGTAATCCAGTTTCAGACCAATCAGACATGCATTCCTGGTAGTGTACAGGTATGGGTGGCACAGACTTTATTTGCTAGTAAGATGTTTTCCTGACATGACTGTACATTTCATGGTATATGAATTCCCCAAGAGATTTCTCATTGTCTATCCATAGCCTTCTTCTACAGTCAGTGACAACTCTTAAGTTTGCATGCTACCATCTTTTCATTAATGATGAGCTCATTAATAGACTTTTGTTAATATTGTCAGCCAAGTAGTATGAATTGTACTTCAAGTAATAGACCATGTGTGAAATCCCTTTAGCCCTGTATATTATCTGATATGAGCAAAATTGTGGTAGAGAGACCAAGATGATCTTGTTTTTATTTTGAAAGGCCTACAGTATGCAGCCTTTCTCCAGGACAGCAGCCCCAGACAAGGTGAACTAATTTTGCACTATGTTGTTTTATTTTAATTCTGCTTTTTTTTTTTTTTTTTTTTTGTAATGGAGTTCTAGCTTATTTAGGTTAGCTCAGTTAACTCTTGCTAGACTTGTTTGTGAAAATTGTAAAGTCTTTACACTGCTTCCAGTTTTGAACTTTGTGTTAGTGGGTTTGCTTTTTAAAGCATTCTTGTTCTGAAATAGCATTTTACGCATGCTGCTAACTAGGCTGTATCTAGAGCAGCTGATGACTTCTGGTGACATCCAGTGCAAATATAAACTTGGCTTATTGGCATAGTGACAGATGTGTGTCAGCCTCACTATTTAATTTCTGTTCACTAAAGACAAACTGGAGGCAGCTTGGTCATGGTCCACATGACTCATTTACACCTCAGAAAAATTTTAATAGTTTCTGAATTAGTGATGTTTGTGTGTTTGGTGTGTTATGAATAGCTCTTGCCATGATTAAAATAACAAGAAGCATTGTCTTCTTTAATCCATGTGATGATAGAGTTAGTGATATCCATATGAAAAATATACCCAAGCCAGGTACAGAGGCACACGCCTGTAATTCTAGCACTTGAGAGGCAGATCTCTATGGGTTTTAGGCTAGCGTGTTTTACACAGTGAGTTCCAGGCCAGCCTAGTCTACACTGTGGGTTCCAGGCCTGCTAGTGAGAACTTGTCTTATAAAAGAAAACATAAAAGTATTTTTTAAAAAAGTTAATAATATCAAGCAAATTAATTTAAAAAGTTTCTGTACTTTGCTTCACTTAAGTTATGGTTGCATTCCTGCAAATTTTTTTCAAAGTGTAGAGTTAAGCACACAACAAGGACAGATCCATCTCAGTGTCCGTTTCATAAGTAGGTAAAAAGCGTGTGGTGGAAAGAGGAAGGCGTTGATGTGGACAAGCTGGAACTGTGTTCTTCCTGCCCTCTTAACCATCCCAGTAACTACTATTTGACCCATCATGTGAAGATGAATTAAAATAAGAAATTAAATCATGAAGGATGGCAGTTTCTATTATTAGTCAATATATATAAATCATTAATGTCCTTTAAAATATTTCCAAACAGCCATGAGAATAAAATATTTGTCTAACTGCTTAGAACAAGTTCTTTAATTAAAATATAGACTAGAATTCTGAGGCTTATTTATATTAAAAATTTTGAATATGAAAATGAGATAGCTAATATACAATGTGTGTATAAGCTGTCTATCTGAAATGTGACTCGCACTTTAATTTTAATTCAGCTAAGCACCACATACATGTCTTTGGTGTACCTCAGTCAAACTTGGTAGTGTAGATACTTTTTTCTGAGTTTTATGTAAAATTAGTACTTCATGATTGCAGTTCAAATGGATTGCTCCATCAGATGAGTGTACATTATTGTTCTGGTCAGTGAAGACCATCAATTTCTTAATGAAACGTTAACCCAGAAAGTTTAGATTTCTACAGAATTGACTACTCTGTCCTCACCGTGGCTCTGGATGTGGGTTGGACATACACTGTGAACATTAGTGACTGACTATGCTCTTTGTGAGTGGATGTTGGCATTCAAATGTGGTTGAAGTAATCAATGCTTATTGAATACTAGCTTGAACCCCATTTTCTGGGATAATATTAGCATCTGAGAAAATGAGGAAGCCACTCAACCTTGGAAAGAGTGTGGATATACATAAAAATAATGGATAGCTAAACCCAAATGTGGAATGTCAGGATCCCCACCGGAAGTAGCCTTGGTGTTAAGTTTTCCCTTTGTTCATTTGACTTCCACATCTACAAAAGAAGGTCAAGAGTTAACCTTTACTCTGAAGTATACTTTAGAAAAAGCGAAGAGTAACATTTAGAAAGAATGAATTCTAAGCTAAAAGCAAGTCTGAGTCTTCCTGTCTCTACTCCGCCTGCCCTGGCTATTCAGAGACCTCACTAGTCAGACCTGTTGAAGAATGCTTGTCAAGCCTTTGTGTTCTTTGATTGCTAGGACTAGCCACATCAAGAAGCGAGCCTGCTTCCTTCTGTTTCATACGGTAATCAATCTCTTTCAGATAGTGTGACTAAACCTTTAGTTTCATATTTTCAATTTATTTTTCTAAATTCAACAGACCCTGAATATTTGGCGACTTGTCGGGACTTGGGCATTTTGATTAGTTGTTATTTTCAGTTAAGCATCAAATACTGTGGATGAGAGACGAGCACAGTGAGCTCCACCACATGGGACTATGCACCCCGTCCCCGCAGTATGGCGGCACTCAGTTTATAATCTGTAAAAAGCAGGACAAAACACAGGTTTGTCTGTTTGAAATATTAAGCTGCCAGTTGGTGTGGGGCACTCAGCTTATAAAAGACACCATTCCTTATGTTGTAGTTTTAAATGAAAGATAATATTAGACCTGGGGTTGGCTTTGGGCATAATTCACTTTGGAGCTGTTTGCTATCAGATCATGTTAAGGTATTTCTGCGTATTGATACTACATAGGAGAGAATCCAAGTTTTAAAGAAGTCAATTTCTAGATATTTTCTCTCTTGTTTTAACACAATAAATGTCTTAAATTGTTTATAATGCCTAACTTGTGATGGACTTTAGTTTCAATTTTGTTGTTAGTTATTGAAGATATTGACAAAATATCATACGAAATTATTTTGTATTTTTTGTAGGACTGGGAAACAGAAACTCATGACTGGTATTGTTTTGAATGCCATTTGCCTGGAGAGGTGTTGATATGTGACCTGTGTTTTCGTGTGTATCATTCCAAGTGTTTGTCTGATGAGTTCAGGCTTAGAGACAGCAGTAGTCACTGGCAGTGCCCAGTTTGCAGGGTGAGTACCTATGAGCTTTCATGTGCTGGTCAGAGGGTTGAAATTTATGAATATAGTGTCACCAAGATACCCCAGGTGGTCTTGCCAGGTGAATGATAAATCCTGGAGGGTGGGGGTTATCTGCTGAAATTACTGTGACAAATGAACACAACACTCATAAATACACATACAAAGCATACCCCATGTCTCAGGGTTTACATTTCAGAGAATTTTAGTCATATGAAAATATCTTCTCTTCCCATACTTTACACCTATTTCTAGATTATGTGACTGCTTAAAAGGATAGCTTTTCAAAATATGAACTACTTGCCACATGGAGTTCTCTTCAATAATGATCTTGTAATTTGTGGCAGAGTTGATGCTACTGAAAATACACATGGGCAAAAGGCAGAGTATGGGGAGTATTCGTGATGAGCTTCCTGTCTTAGAGCTGTGGAAGTTACTTTTCTGTCATCATGACTTAGTTTATTCTTTGCTTATACTTTATGTGGAGGGTGGAAGGATGGGACATTTGCACATTAAGAATTCCAATTACTTGTAAAATGCATTGTGCGGTTGGTAAAATACATATTTGCACAATAATTTTCCCTCATTTTTCTCACTGACGAATATGCATGCTGTGAGATTGTAGTGCGTCTGCATATGAGCGATGTGTGCTGACTAAATACTGCATTTCCCAGGGCACTGATGCTGATGGTACGAACTTGTTTGGTTGCACGGACTGTTGTTTTATAATTTGTATTACTCAGCAACTTAGCTGGAATCATGACATTGTCCCAGTTACCCAGGAGTTCAGATTCTGAGTATGTCTTAAATAATGCTTTAGTAATTTGAATGTTTAATTTCTCAAAATTTTATTTATGTTATTTTCTCCTCTTTAACATCAGTCAAAGATTTCATCTGGGCATGATCAGTGAATGTCCAGACCCATCCTCCATAGTAGCCGAGTCCTTGGTTACCTCAGGACACTTGGTGCAGTGTTTCCTTAGGAACTGAGGTCTTGATTACCTGAGCCCACTTCACCCAGAGTTTCCTTACTAATTGAGGCCTTGAATTACTTGAGCCCACCTCACCTAGTTGTCACTTTGTAAGTGAGGGCTTGAATTAAATGGGCTCTCTACCCAGTCCTCCCTTGGGAACTGAGGTCTTGATTACCTGAGCCCACTTACCTTAAGAAGTATATAAAAGGCAACTAGGACAACATTAGAGACCTGTTTCAGGTGAATTATCGGGAAAGGTGAGACAGTATCAATAAATAAATCTGACTGTATCAGTGTCAAAGCTGAGGCTGTAGATTTCTTCTAGATATTCAGCAGCACGTGATGTCCACGTGGAGTTAGTACAGGCATGCAGGTCACCATTCTGAGCAGGGCTGGTGTCACTTAGTTCTCTTTTCACAGATTTGGATCATGCCTCTTGAAACCAAATACATCTCTCTTATATTCTAGGAAGTAAAAACTTGATCTCTCAAGAGGAAGAGCTGGGCCTGGTGGCACAGGCCTCTAATCCTAGCTACTCAGGACTGCTTGGGCTACAGAGTAAGTTTAGGGCCAAACTAGAAAAATCAGAGAGGCCCTGTCTGCAAAAACAAGCAAGCAAGTAAAAAACTAAAGATGACTTCTCTCTATATATATATAGCTCAGCAGTAGATTCCTGACCAGCTCTCCTAGCATGTGGGAGAGCCTGGATTCAATCCCTTGTACCTCATCCCTGAGAGAGGGAAAAGTGAAAGCACACCAGTGAACACCAGGAACAAGGGAGCGTGAGACCCACCCACACCTTCAGGTTGTTACAGTTGATGTTCAGTTCTTACTTCCTAGAAGGAGTTGAGGTAAAAGACTGAGAGTTTTGAGGCAGGGTGACCGCAGTCAGGGTTTTGAGTTATTTATATAAGAGATAGAAAAGGAATCATACTTTAAAGAAAATAGTATGCGTGAGGTTTTGTTTCTGTTTCTCATTCACAGTTGCTCTGCTGGGTTCTGATTAGGTTGTTGTTGTTGTTGGTGGTGTTTGTTTTGTTTTTGTTTTTTTAATATTTCATTGTCAATTGACTCAAATGCATGGCCTCATTTTTTTTTTTTTTTTGTTTTCCCTTGTTCAGTTTGGATGTGTTTATGATACAAGGACATAATTGTACTTATGCAAATGATACTGTAAGTCACATAAAAAAAACTAAACTGTGTATGTATAGTATAGTATATGAACTAGCCTCCAGTAAGACTCAGAAAGCCTGTGTTTGAGGCTGAATGTGGGGAATTTTACCTTCATCTCTGAAGCCTCCAAAGAAACCATCATTTGTTAAGTTAGGTCTATTCTGTTGATTTAATAGTTATGTTCAAGAAAAGGTAATTGCTAATGATTCTTTTTCTAGTATGAAAAGAAATAATAACCTGAAAGTTGTAATGGAATTTTAAATGTGTATCAGGTGAAATTTAGTTTTTAAAACAAAATAAATTTCAATAAAAGCCTTCTTTAATATTTAACAAATGAGTATTCCTATTGAAATATTCCTGGACTAAGAGAGCGTGGGGTTCACATACTAAAACTCTAGAACTGTGGTTCCGATTAGAATAAACTTCCTAGTCTCTTTCCCTCTGTGGAATGTCAGACAGTTAAGTAGGATAGTTACGTATACACACAAAGAATTTTGTAGAAAAGAACCTTATTTCCAGTCAGGCAAAAATAGCAGACAGAAATCAGTCATTCTTACCAAAATTGAAGTTTAAAGCAACATGCTCTAATAACCGGTAGAGAGCTGAAGACTTTTCTGCCGTAGGTCCCAGGTGTTTGGAAACACTGCTCCCTCCCCGCTGTGAACTGCACTGTCACACCAGTCACCTTGTGTCTCAGGTCCGAAGGTTGAGAGGACAATGTGCACCTTTCCCAGCCAAAGTCATTTCCCAGTTTTCTGATTACTTTAGGAATCTTGCATTGCCAAGAACCCTTTAGATGCCTGCTTTCCAAACCATGGATGTATCTTTGCAGACACAGCTAATTGTTTTTAAAGAGTAGCCCATGAATATCTAAGTAGATTTTACTTTGAGAAAAGTATCCTCACCGTTATATACTCGTTTCTGTGAACTTACTAATTTAGAAAATATTTTAAATAATTTTTAAAAACTGTTGTAAAGAATTAAAGTAAAATAAGAAAAGCAAATTCATAGAATTCCTTTTCTGTAGGTGAATATTCTTCAGGCTTCTTGTGTTGTGCGTATGTGTTTGTGTGTGAGTGACATGCACTATTGATACAGTCAGCTTGTCTCCAACTGGCTGTGTCCTAGACATCCTATTTGTACACCTTACAGTAGAGAAAAGCCACGGGTCCCTCACTTGACCAATTCTTCTAAATGTGTATTCATGTGCCGCCTGTCTTTCTCCACTGACAGCTTGTCAAAGATGACGTTCACATTGCTGTGTTTGAAATCATACCCAGTTTCAGCTTCTGAAGACTGTGCTCACTATTTATTTCTTCATGAAGCTGATTTACATTTTATTTTCATGAAAGGATCATGAATTTACTAAGCAAAACTTAAAAAAAATCCTGTTTTGAAAACTCCTTTAAAGATTTTATTTACATAAAGGAAGTACCTTTAAAATACAATATAGTTCATGGTACTTTTCGAAAAGCATGTGTGTGTATTGTATTGTGTGTATATGCATGATTCTGTCTGGTCAGTTCTAGTAATATGAGTTCACTGACTACAATTCTTCAATATGACAAGTATAGACAGTTATATTATTTACTAAGATGACCACGTGCCCTTCAAAGAGCGCCCACTCACATCACAGCGCACGGCAGCTGTTTTCATTGACCCATTGGACTTCATCAGGTGTCTCATTTTTACCTCACTTCACGTTGGTATGTCGGTTCCAGATTGCAAAGTCATGTACCTCTTGGTGTCAGGGTTTGTGGTAGGCGTGTGTGTCTGTGTCTGTGCGTGCACTGCATTCTTATTAGCCTATAAGCTTTGGGGGAGAAAAAATCATAGGACTGTTGGAGTGATACCTGTGAACATTATTCTTGGACTAAGAGAATTGGGAATCATCAGACTAAAATCAGGAACTATGGTTACAATCAGAATCAACTTTCCAGTCTACTTTTTCCTCTTAAAGTGTGGAAAAAATATAGGATAGTTAGAGATCCTAATAAGGAACTTTTGAGCATTGTTTTAACATACAGGCAAGGTCATCTGTTATTAAAACTACACAACCACCTGCTAGGGTGGCACCATACTGCCTTTTGGCATAGTGTTCCCTGGCATTCTGTGGTGGTGGTGGTGGTGGTCTCTGGTGCTGTCCAGTATGAGCCTCCAGCCACATGTAGCTCTGGCTACCACAGCAGACAGTGTTTTGTTTTTTTTTTTCAAAAGTCATATTCTGAACCCTGTACAGTCCCAAGAGAAGCATCTTCCAATGTAAAATGTCACCTTCATCAGAGTGCTATAGCCTTTTTCTCCTCGTCAGACTCTGCTTATTACTTTAAGAATTCTAAAGGAATGGTCTGCACAGACCTTCTCTTCCCAGTGTACAGACTCTGTAGCAAGCCCTCTCTGTGAGAGCAGTGATTTTCATATCTGGGAGTGTGACATTTGCTCTCTAATACCTCATAAAGTATCAGAACATTAACAAGGGGAGCAGAACCATCAAGCAAGTGAAATGTCTCCTTTCCAGACATTTGGTACTTGCCAGTGAATGACAGAGATCGGGTTCCAGAGTGGGCCCCGTCCTCTCCTCCTCCCTTCACCGTGTTCGCCCTCCTCTATGGGTCAGGTTTGTTTTGTCTTGGTTTTTTGTTTTGTTTTTGTTTTTTGACATGGACAAGTTATAGATTCATGTTAGTGCCAGTTTAAATTCATACAGTTTTCATCTGTGACTATAATGTGCTGTGGGCAGCAGGTAGGACACCAAGTGTGACCATGCTTGCATAGTCAGTGTATCTCAGGAAGGGAATAATTAGACGTCATGGTGAGTCCCTTGCTCTCATGTTTGTATCTGGGCCT